CCCCAAAACCCCAAAACCCCAAAACCCCTGTATAAAAAGTTGCTTGAGAAACAATAAATTATTTTATAAAAGTTTACATCATCAATGGAGGCCAATAGTAGCATAGAAGCATCAACCAAGGCTGACACTATATACACTTTCAATGACAACGAAGAGGATATGAATATAGAAGAAGTTGAAGCCGCCATGATTGACCAAGAGAATCCTGATGTTGAGCTGGAGTATATAATTCCTTATCAACTTCTTAATACTCATTTTTAGATTCTTCTCTTCATTATAGTTTTGCTAAAGATCTTTTAGATAATGTTTAGCTTGGTGTCAAGATTATCCCCAAGGATGATCTCTGAGTCTGGAATCTGACTGTACAGGTCCTTAGTATTTATATCAGCCTCTGAGAAATTTTCAATCGGAACTTTGACATTAGCCTTGCCTCTATTCTTAAAATTTCTCTTCTCTTCTGTTCTAAGTTGAGGACACTCTTCAGACATAGTTAGAAGATATCAGCTTTGCCTTCGAGTTCACTTTTAGTTTATTTCCTAGTCTTGATTTCTCATGGGTGGAAGTTTTAGGGTTTAAAGAAACAGATTTGGAATGATCCCAAAAAAAATTTAGAATCCTAGTTGATTAGCCTTCCAAAATTAGTAAACTTGCGTCTTTTGGTTCGGATTTGTTATGTTTTAAAATCATACTCCCTTTCCTGGAATGTATGCTCTTGAGCTTGTTCTTCATCTGAGTTTTATTTCTCTCTGAAATCTCCCTTTTGAGCTGATTCCCTAGATTTAGATAATACTGAAAGCTGAGAAATTTTGATCAGCAACCTTTTCTTACTATGAATTTTTCTTGGACTATTTTTGTTTGAAAGAATTGATTTTCTATTGATTAAATCCTAGTTTACCTCTTTTCTTTCCTGCTTACTACCAGATTGATCCTGGCAGAGGATGTTTTGCCTCCTTTGTCTGGCATCACAAGACCTAGCGATTCTTGGTGAGTTATCTCCTTTGGGAGAATAAACTCATTTGATTCTGGCTTAGGTTCATCAACTATTGGTTAACTCTTAATTCAGGTCCAGGGAGCCTACCTGCTCTCGATCATTTCCTTCTGTGCCTCTTAAGACTGCCGTTCTTTATTTTTTTCTGGCTATAGGCGAATGCGATAATTTTGATACTGATTACATTAGTTTGGTTGCATGATGTTCTGTTTGAATATAATTTGTTCTTAACTATATTTAAATTAGGATCTGTATATTTCAGAGATATTGGCTGTTGTAGCTTACACTTTGAAACAGGACCTCTGAGCTCAAGCATTTGGTCATTTTCAAAATCTAGCGAACGCCTAGAAAGAAGTATGTTAATACCACTGAGTAAAAAGTATAGAACGATTTAGTCTGCACCGATTTTAATACTAAAAGAAGTCCTAAAAGATACAGAAATTCAATATTCCTCCCAAAGCGTAGAGAATGCATGCCAAACTATTATAAAATTTACAAATCAATTAGAACAAAATATTTGAAATTCACTTTACCTAATAGTCTTCTCTCTTCTATTGATCTTCCTCTTTCTCTGTGTCTTATGATTACTCCGATACTTCTTATTTGGAATATAATTAAGTGGCTCTTCCTTCTATATTTTACATGTCAGATTATTAAGCCAGTTATGGTGCTGAGCAAATGGAAATAGCAAATTCTAGTACTTTTTCTAATGCCTTTATTTCAATTTAATTAATATAAAGAGGGGTTTTGGGGTTTTGGGGTTTTGGGGAGAT